GTAAACCTAGCTGACCCACACATTTTTGCGAATTTCTCGGAAACCAAAGGAACACCTAAATTAATTTTGGAGGCCCTAATTAACACCTAAAAGACACCTAATTCCTAGCTAATTTTTATTGATTTTTGGCGACTTGGGTCAGCTAGGTTTGTGGACGTGGAAACCACCCCAGTGGACTACTGAGCTCTCCGAGTTAAGGCCACCGAGCGGACAACTTTTTGATAAGGCCCGTAGAAGTGGCTTGTCTTCTGAATAGAGACTTTATAGAGCTGCCATGAATCATCCAGATTTAGACAAATACTCGCGAGGAATTGCGTTCCCTTAGGGTACCTGGGGAACGAGGCGAAAAATTGGACAATGAGCAGCCAAGAGTCGTTAAAGCTTCTCCTTGATGCTGAATTTGCTTGTAATACTTCCCCAGCAGAAATCACCGTTAGGGCAATGCACGGGAGTTGCACGTCGCTCTCCGACCTCCTGGACGATCGTCACATAGCCTGGACGATAAATTCGTTCAAACCCTTCAAGCCGCCGGGAACAGATGTCATCATACCTGCGCAGCTGCAAAAAGGCTCTGGAGGTTTCGAGCAATTGGCCGGCTGGTGCATTCCCAAGGCTTGGAGGGTGGTCAGAGTTGCGTTTATCTCATGTTTTAAGTCTATCAGTCTGCTAAACACCCTATAGAGACTGATTAACCTGCACATAAGAAACGGGATTCCTCGTGACTGTCTTTCGAGAGCTCCACATGCTTATTGCAAGGGAAGGTCGATGAATACCGGCCTGAACATATTAGTAAAGTGGATAAAGGAAGCCTACATATATAAGTACTTCTACTCTCCAGCCTGACTAAGCGTAAATTGCGGGAAATGTACAGTACCTCCACAGCACTGAATGCCATCAGCACACAGATCAGGAAGAGTCTGAATCAACTTCAACCTTTTGTTGAAACGGTTTACCTCGCGGAATTAGTAACAGTTAACCATTCGATCCTTTGTCAAGTCATTTTGGACTCGTCGCTTCTATTTCAGATGAAACGGTGGCTACTTTATTGTGGAAGTAATCAATACACATTTAAACTGACAGATACCACTTAATAACAACTTTTTAGTTAATCTACTAGAAAGTGTTTTTTTCTATAAATTTTGCATAGACAACCTGTTATTGTTGAAACACGCGTAGTTTCACCTACTTATTTGCATATATTATAAATTCTAAAA